GGTAGTTCAATTTTGTAAGCTGCATCCAACAGTGACTCAGGTTACAAAAAGATGTGGTTCTCTGGGTAGGTGACACTGTGTAACAAAACTAAGGGTCACAGGTCCCTGGTGGATCGCGGTTTATAGATGGCTAATGAGTTTGCCACTACTTTGGAGGAAATGACGATTTGGGAAGAAAGGAACACAAGTTCCTCAATGGTGAAACTGCCCTTTCAGAAAGGCTCTCACGGTGCATTTGCAAGCATGTTGGCTGGGGAGAGGTAGGGCCTGTGGTTGTAAGCCAGAAGCATATGGTTCCCTCATGGGCTGTGATTTCATTGGCTTACTGCTCCAGCTAAGTGAGCTGCAAGATCAGAGAACAGACGTCTTGCCATGTTATTGTTCTCAGAAATCTGGGCTGGTGGAGACAGATTAAAGTTACGGCCAACGCTAAGCCTGACCTCAAGAACACACACACACACACACACACACACACACACGCACGCACGCACGAATGAAGTGTATCTTGAATAATGGTTAGTGGGGCTTTCCAAGAACCTAGTGAAATAAAACTTAAAGGACTTTTAGCCCAGATTGAGTTATATTACATTCCTTATGTTTTCATTTTGTTAAAATAATTAACAAAACACAATGAAGGGATTTCCTTAGGGGGATTCTGAGATGGAATCTGATCACTTTATCCCTCTTTAAGGTTGTAGCACTAAGGATAAACAGAAAATATGTGTGTGTATGTATATATTGTTGCTGTTGTATGTCACTGAGTCAAATCTAACTCGTAGTGACCCCATGTGGTAGAGTAAATCTGCTCCACAGGGTTTTCTAGACTGTCATCTTTCTGGAAGCAGATTAATAGGTCTTTCTCTTGAGGAGTCACTGGTGGGTTTAAACTGCCAACTTTTTAGTTATAGCTGGGTGCTTAATCATCGCACCACCAGGACTCCATCGATACATACAGTCACACACACACACACACACACACACATTGTTGATGTTAAGTGCTGCTGAGTCGTTACTCACAGTAAACCTGTGTAGGGTTTCTGAGGAGCAGCTGGTGAACTTGAATGGCTTATCTTTCGGTTAGATATATACACACGCACATACACATCACTGTATGTGCAGTTTTGGTGTGACACTATGGGTTAATGTGCTGGACTGCAAAGTCGGTTTGAACCGCAAGGTCAGTGGTTCAAGTTCACTAGCTGCTTCTAGGAAACCCTATACAAAACAACAACACATCACTGTAAACTTTTTCTATTTAGGTTGTTGTTGCAGTCCAGCGCATTAACGTACAGTGCCACACCAGGGCTCCTTTACATTCAGGTGTGTGTGTGGATGGCTACATAGTGGAAAGGAGTAATGATTAATTCAGTTTGATAATTCACTGAATTTATTTGGGGTTGAGATGGCCTGGTGACATTATACTTTTGGATAAATTTTTAAAATAAAAGTTTATACAATTTTAATCAGCACTCACTAGCACACATTTTAATGACTTGGTAATAAAAAAATGTTCCAACATAGTAAGTTCTGTGTTGGTGGGACTGTGTCTCATTACTGATGCAGCCCCAGTGTTTAGCAGAGTGTCTAATACATGGCTGATGCCAGTGAAGGGGTCCCTCCCTTCCACTTTACCACTTTAGTGACAATGATGATGATGTTGTCAGTACCCTCTACTTAGAAAGCAGTATCCATAAATTCGCCCAATAATGCGACAAAGTAGTTAAAATGACTACCCTTATATTACAGGAAAATGAGGGTTAATGAGGCCTCCTAACATGCTCTATGCACACTGCTAGAGTGATAGAGTTGGAATTTGAACTGAGGCATCCTCGGTTCCAGAGTCTGAATTCTTAATCACTGTTTTAAACTGCCTGTCTGTAGTCAGTGGCTGGTTTGAGATGATAAACCTGAATTCTTGCCTGAAGTCAAGAGGAAGAATTATTTGGATTGTTTCAATGCTATTTTTGATCCGTATGTGGCAAGTGAGAAATGTTCCTGTTTAACTCTACACTATGGTGGTGGTGATGATGGTGTGCCGTGGAGTTGGTTCCAACTCATAGCAATTTTGCATAGGTTTTCAAGGTTGTAAATCTTTCCAGGAGCAGAAAGCCTCATCATTCTCCTGCAGAACAGCTGGGAGTTTTGCACTGCTGGTCTTGAGGTTAGCAGGCCAACTGCATAACCACTACACTCCCAGAGCTCCAACTCCACACTCTGGTAGAGATTTTATTTTTACTGACAAGGCCCTCAGAAGCTCACTATTGATAATTCTGAAATTACTTCAAAGTTTATCTGTAAGATCCTTTTTTGGGCCTGAGAATACATTTTCCAAAAGAAACTTTGCTACAAAGTAGGAATGAGGTTCCCAGACTGGCTCATAAAAACCAATTTAATTTATAATAAAGATATTGTGTATCTGTAATGATAAACTAGTAATTAAAAGAGTAGCAGTTAGTAATACATAATTTATAAAATTAAGTTAAGTGTTCAAGGAAATACAAACCGAATACAGAAGACATTTCTTACAATCTGAGGGAAACTTCTGGATGCTTTTATAAAGGTTTCCATTTTTCTTCAACACTTGGCTTGACTGTTGTTTGTTTCTTGGATACAGGTGGTATGATGGGGCACTTTCACACTTGACACCATCATTAGATTGATTTGGTGCACATTTAGGACAAAAGACGAGGAGTGATAAAAGGGAAGGAGGAGAAGCACTTCCTTAGTGGGCGTTAGGCTGGCATGGGGTGATGAGAGAGGGTAAGGGGAGAGGGAAGCCAGGAGGATGTGTGCATATAGATGAGAAATTATGAACTCTACTCGGAGAGCAAGGACACAAGGTGTGTGCATACCGCCTAAGGAAAAAATACAGCTGTAGTGAAGAGAAGTCAAGTGTGTGTATGACAGTGTATGTGTGGGTATGACAGTGTATGTGTGTGCATAACACTACTTGTGTATGTGTGTGTATGACAGTACCTGTGTGATGGTTTATATGTAAGCTCAGCTTGTTCACTTGCTCAATTTATCTTTGTGGCAAGTCCTGTACTAGATGGAAAACTAGCAGATACAAAGGAAAACTAACAGATAACGTCAGGGTCCTCATGCAGCTAACATGTTAATGGAGAAGACAGACCATAAACAAATAAACAAGAAACTAAAATAAGAGACTGTGAGAACTGATGCTGTTATTAGCTGTCATACAGTCCCTCCTTGACCCATGGCAATCCCACACCCAAGTGGATTGAACCATTGTGATCCACAGGCTTTTCACTGAGCATTTATCAGAAGTACATTGCCAGGACTTTCTTCCTAGTTTGGTTTAGTCTGGGCACTCCACTAAACCCTGTTCAGCATCATAGTAACATGCCATCTACCACTGATAGATGACTGGGGATTGTGGTTGAGGTACATTGTATAGGATAGAAGTAATTAAGACACTAAAATAATAAATAACAAGGACACCAATCTGAAAAGGAAGTTTACTGAAGGGAAAGCTATTTAACTAACATATCGGAGTCCTACTGTAGCACTGTAAAATAAGCACTGGACTGCGAGGTCATCTGAACCACAAGGTCGATGGTTCAAACTCACCAACTGCTCTTTGGAAACCGTATATAGGATCTCTGTGAGTTGCAACTGGCTTGTCAGCAGTTGATAACCACATATAGGATGAGAAAGTGCTAGAAGAATAACTTTCAGGTAGAGAAAGATTAGAAAGACTAGGAAAGAGAAAGAATTGGTGTGTTGTAACAATGAGACAGAAGGTCAATCTAACTGGAGCTTGCTAGTTAAGAGAGAGAGAGGGTACAGTTAGTTGGAAAAGGTTGGTAGAGGTGAGTCTATGAGTGATTTTGAGGTCTAAGCTCTGGAGTTAGACACTAATTCTAAATTCAGTGAGAAGCCACTGGAGGTTATGCATGTGTGAAATCGAGGTAATCATCAATAATTGCTGCGTATTTCAATGGAGGGATGACATGGACAGAGGAACTTCTACAAAGACCATCTTGTTGTTGTTTTGTGCCGTGGAGTCGGTTCGACTCATAGTGACCCTATACAGGGTTTCCAAGGCTGTAAATCTTTACGGGAGCAGAAAGCCTCATCTTTCTCCTGTGGAACAGCTGGTACTTTCGAACTGCTGACATTGCGGCTTGCAGCCCGATTTGTAACCACTACGCTACCAGAGCTGTTTTAAAGAGCATGTAAAAGAGGGCGAGGAGTTTACTGTACTCACATGATGGCATACAGTCCTTCTATTTCCTGTTATGGGCACATAGAGACTGGCCAGTAAGACTAGTATTTGCCATTTGGTCTTTTAGAACTGGAAGGAAACTCAAGAAATTGTTTGTAATGTAGTTTTAAGACTTTTGGATTCAATAGAGAAATAGAATGCAAAAATGGGGGCCTCACAAGATCCTGTAACTTTCTGTCTTGCTAAGGGAAAGAAAAGACTCAGTTATTAATGATGATAACCTTCATTTCACACATATACAAAAAAGTTAGGAAATAAAAGATAACATTTCAGAATTCAACAAGTTTGATAGAAAATGACATACTTTCCTTTCTTTAACCCATTTTGCTAGTGAAAACCTCATTAAATATTGGGTACAGAGCCACAGATAAGAATTCAGTAGAACATCAGTATTTAAGAACCATGGAGTCCTGTTCCACCAGTGAGAAAATGTGCACTTTGGGAGGCATGTGTCCTCCCAAAAACTGAGGCAGGCCTCAGCCTCTTGACTCCAGGTTGTTTTATTTTACCCATTACATCACCTCATTGAACATTTTCAGTTTCATTTCTTATATTTTGCCAGGGTTTAGATACTGTAGCATTTATTCCTGTCTACTACATGGGGAGCATGCTGGTCATATTCATTCCCCTGCCAATATTTCTGAAAGCTAAGATACCTATTAAGAAATAAGCACACAGCAAAACAGATCTCAGCCTAGAGCCAACCCAGTGGAATCCTTTTCTTCATAATGAAGAGTGAACTGAGTCTTACCTGATCTTCAGATATGCTGCGACTCCAAACACCAGCAATACCACAGCAATGACTGTCACTGTAATGGCGGCGATGCTGCCTGGTAAGAGGAAAGGCACAGAAAAGAGAGCTTAATGACTTGGAGGTGGCTGGTCCACAATCATTTTCGGGCCAACACTGTCTTTTCTTTGACATAGAAGAAGTATTTATTTCCGATCACGCTGCATAATAATTAGAACTACAATGAAACCCAGAATGTTAATTTGGTTACTAAAATGTTTTTCATATCAGGTAAATAGCCAGTATTTATTAAGACTTTTGGATGGCCTGAAGTACAGAGAACAGTACCTTGTAGCATTTGATTATCTCTTTAAGAAAGAGTACTCTGTTGTGACCGCTGTTGTTGTTTGCAGAAGTAGGGCTTTCAAAACCTCCTGATCTATCTATTTCCTTTTTCTATAGACTCTGGTTTATATTCTAACCACTAGTGAAATACTGGAAGAAGTCGGATGTTTTATTGACAACTCACACTACAGGATAATGAAACAGGTTATTTTATTAAACAAGACCCCTATACCTATATCAGTAGCATCCACTTCAAAAGTCATCTTGGTATGAGATATGCAAATGTTAATGATGACACCATCAAATCAGAACATTTAAAAGACTCCTCTTTGAGAAGCTTGTCCAGTTTTCATCCTTGAAAGGTGAGTGGATTTTGTAGAAAACAAAGACAAGTTTGATATACAAGATAAAGTCAATTCTGGTATACAATCAGGTACAATGATATAAACTAACATCCATGTTTCCTTAATTAACTTGAAAACTGGAGCAAAAGGTAACTTTTTTTTTTTTTAAACTTTTTATTGTGACTCGAGTGAAGGTTTACAGAACAAATCAGTTTTCCATTCAACAATTCATACACATTTTGTTTCATGTCATTGAGTGCAATCTTCACTCATCCCACATCTACCCTGTGTCTCTTATTTCCATTCTTCCATTCCTAACCCTCCTTCCTTGCTTCCTAAATGAAGTTTTTCCTTGAGGAAATGCTGCCCTTTTGATCTCAAATGGTTGATTGTTCTAAAGTGTGCATTCCTCCCTAGTGTTCTTTTTCATCTTTAAAGATCTATTGTTTGGCTTAAAATTGAGTCATGGGGTTGAGTTCAGTTACAGGCCTGAAGGGTGACTACTAAAGGAGGGTTTTAAAACACACACACACACACACACACACACACACACACACACACACAAAACGTGAGCACAATAGGCTAGTAAGAATAACCACATTGTCTCCCAGGATTACTGCTTTGAAACACAAGTTTCTTTTTTTTGTGAGCTTTGAACTATTAATATGTATTTTTACGTACTCTCTTTTATTTAACCTTGAAAAGGCAAAGACTCAACTGGGTTCTTGCACCTAATATGAAAGTGATTTTTTGGCACTAAAGTTGGGGTTGTTGTTGTTAGATATCATCAAGTTGGTTCTGCCTCATAGTGACTCCATGCAAAACAGACCATAATATTGTCCTGTCCTGCATCATCCTCATATCATTGCTATGCTTGAGTCCATTGTTGTACTTATCATCTTAATCCATCTTCTTGATTGAGGGTCTTCATCTTTTTGGCTGACCCTCTATTTACCAAGCATGAAGTCCTTTCTGGTAACATGTTCAAAGTGAGACAAAGTTTCTTGCTATCCTTGCTTTTTTTTTTTTTTAAAGTGTTTTATTGTGAATTATATGATAGTTTACATGGGAGAACATTAGTTTTATATTCATTCTGTCATACATCGTATCATTGCCATGGTTACAATCCCGATCTCCATGCATCATCAACCTACCAAAGGGTATACCCTGCAAGCCTGCCTCCTACACTATCCCCCCTCCCCCCAGTCTTTAGCACACAGTTGCTCTCCCTCTCTGGATCTGAAGTCCCAGATGCTCCATCGCTCCACGCCATTATCTCTGCCTCCATCTTGGGCATCACTGCTTCTCTTGGTAGGTTCCCGCTCTCGGCTCTTCTCCGTTGATAGTCCTAGGGACCTCCGCTCCTAGACTGAAAAGTTATTCCCTCCCTTCCTTGCTATAAAATGTCTACCTTTACATTTCCAACCTTCACAATCAGTCCTGATAACAATTATTCACTATTGTATCACAAGAGACCCATTTACATTTCATTTCATCAGCTCTGCCTAGGCAGACTGGATATTACTCACTGGAGATTCTGCCTTCCTCCAGGCCCCCCTGTCTCTAGGTTCCCTCTTGAAAGCTTGTAAGCCAGTCACTTCTTGTTTTGTAGCTCCGCCCCCATCCCAATTTTGGGTAGCCGATGTCCAAGTTGCCCATCCCTGTTTACTCTGTGTATGGAGGGGGTGGGAATGATTCTTGCTGTAAGTATTTGTTCCCTCTTTTGAGCTATTGCTTCCATAGGTGTAGGACAAGTTCATCAAATTGCATCAGATTACTCTTTTTTTCCTCTTCTTTCTTCTTCCGGTTGAGCTCTGATCATCCATTCATTGAAGCCAGGTCAAGTGGTTATTATCTGCAAGTGTGGGTGTTCTTATGCATATGCCCTCTCTTTTTATCAGCTGCATGCTTCACTCTCCACATTGTAGGGCTTAGCTTGCCACTTCATTGTTATTTTTCCCTCACTTCCCCTTATCGGTGACGAGCGTGGTCACCAATCAGAGCGTGTATTCCCATTGAGTCTTAGTCTTGGAAGGGGGTTTGCACTGAGGGGACCCGACCACTTGCCTTGATGTTTCCTGGGCAAGCAACTTGTTTGTTCTTGTAGTAACAGTCCGTCTGGCTCTATTGTTTTGTATTTTTCCTGTAGGTCTTTCTTTCAAGGAGTATCTTCTATTCTTCTAGCCATTCCAGGTTGGTCTGCTCGTCCCTTCAGGTGGAAATTTCCCATCTCTGGAGATCTGGATGTGGTTCAGGCTTCTACCTATAGTCTTATGTATTGCAGAGGCTCTACAGGAAGCCTCCTTCACTGGGCATGTTGTAGCCCCATTTTATGTATTCCAATCAGTTATAGGCAGAACACGGACTTACAAGCTTTCTATGGTGTTGTTTCTGACTATTCCTTCCTCTCCTCCTCCAATGTCTATTTTATATTATAATGCAAGGAAAACCAAGATTCAAAAGACAGCCAAGCATCTTAACATTATTCCCCCCTTTTCACCATTCCAACCATGTCTCAATCTCTGTATCCCAGAGCCCTGTAGTTCCAAGGTTGTGTATACATCATTCTTTACCTCTGTCCCACTTAGCCCATTCAAACATGCCTAATTGTTCTCCTATCTGCTTTGTTCTTCCATATCCTTGCTTTTATGGAACATTCTGATTGTATTTCTTTAGAGACAGATTTGTTTGCCCTCTGGAAGTCCATGGTGTATTCCAAATTCTTCAAAACCATTATTCAAATGAATATCTTTGATTTTCCTTACTTAACCTAAACTTAAATGGGTTGTTGTTATTGTTGTTGTTGTTAGGTGCCATCGAGTTGGTACCGACTTATAGCAACCTTATGCATGGCAGAATGAAACACTGCCTGATCCTGGGCTAACCTCACTATTGTTGTCATGCTAGAGCCCATTGATGTTGTAAGAGACCCTATTTTAGACCACTGTTGTTGTTTGTTGTTGTTGTGCCCTCGAGTTGGTTCCAACTCAAAGCAACCCTGTATATGCTGGTGAGATTGAGCCACCAACCTTGCCATTCAAACAGACCTTGCAGTCCAGTGCATTAACCCACAGCACCATTGTTTAGTACTTCAACAAATGAATAGGACTCTTTTAAACACTGGATAGAATATAAGAAAGGTAGAGTTGGAAGATGTGGATTTAAGTCATGGTTTCCACCATCATTAGCTGTATGACCATGGTTATTTATTTAACCCTGTTAACTCATTTACCACTTCTCTGTCAGTCTGTTGTAATGTGATAGTTTGCATGTTGCTAGCCTCCTCCCTGGAGAGCAGTTACACCTGTCATTAAGAACTCTTAATTTTTTTTTTTTTTTTTGTCAGGATGGCTAGCAAGGTCTTTCTTGTAGTTCTCTCCAAAGCCTTCTTTGGTTTAGAGACTAACCGCCAGGTGGGCTTCACACACTTCCCTTAAATCCTACAGCCAATATTTCAAATAACAAACAGTGAGGTCACTTACGGTGGAGAGGTTTAGCCTAGCTTCCAAGTTAAGACAGAATGGAAAGACCGTACAATCTAATTTTGAAACTTAGCCAATGAAAACCCCAAGGGTCACAATAGAATACTATCTGAGATAGTGCTGCAAGATGAGTCTCCTGGCTTGGAAGGCACTTAACATGCATTGAGACTTCAACAACAAGCTTGAGTATAACAATAAACGTGAAAATGGTGAAGGATCATGTGATGCTTGATTCTATTATACAAAAGGTCATCATGAGTTGGAACTGGCTTGGCAGCAACTAAAAATAACAAAACATCTACTTCACATGATTTTAAGGGGGTTAAACAAGATACCACATGTATATGTATTGCCAAAGTGTTATCCAAATGTAAGATGTTGGACCAGGGTCCATCTCTCATGTACTAGGTCTTGCAGGCGATTGAAGCTCCCCATATTTTGGGAGATTTATCACTTGCAGATTACTTTGCTTTCTCTCCTTTAATTTTTTTGATATCTTGTTTGAATGACTTTTGCTTAATGTTCTTCTCAATGATCTGTCCATCAAAGGGATTGTTTGTTGTTATTTTCAAGTGCTGTCCAGCTGGTTTCAACTCATAGTGACGCTGTATAAAGTTTCCGAGGGTGTAAATCTTTGCAGTAGCAGAAAGTCTCATCTTTCTCTCATGGAGCGGCTTGTGGGCTCAAACTGCCAATATTGTGGCTTGCAGTCTAGTGCTTATCCTACAGATCCACTGTGCTCCCTCAAAGGAATTAAAGTAGGGCTAGTAAGCAGGTGTTTTCTTTCTATCTCATTCTGTTGTGCATGGGGTCGCTATGAGTTGGTACCTACTCGATGGCACCTAACAACAATGACAACAATAAGCAGGTCAATATATTTATGAACCCTTTAGTTAACCCCCTAGAGGTATGGGATGAAATAGTACTGC